TATGCAGACTGGAGTGGAGGATACAGGCCAAGATCCATCATGTGGTTGTACGTCTGGTCAAATACAGCGCGTTCTGTCAATTTTGATAGGAATTGAAGAGTTCGCAATAACCGCTGAATAAAAGCACTGAGAACGCATTTGCACAGGGTTAGCCTCGAACTAAAAAAATATTCACAAATACCGGCGGGAAGGTGCCACAAGTTTGAAAATCAAACAATACACAGAGCTGTAAACAGGTCATCTTCTCGCTGGAATTTGTGAATATTTTACTTTAGGTCGAGGCTAACCCTGTGCAAATGCGTTCTCAGTGCTTTTAATCAGCGGTCATGGCGAACTCGAAACTGGAATTTTGCACTCGCATTCATACGATTACCTACCCATATTTTACTAATTGAATTTTTTGTCATATATGTCATATATATAGTCTCTAATTGCATATGGATAAGGGAAGGGCGTTTTCAGCGGTACCATGTTACCGAATAAAGAGGAAACGGGTGATTTTTCTCTAAAACAAACTTGACACGCTGGTCAGATGGTGTCGCATTTGTAAAAACAAGTTTCCGTGCAACTCATGTCCCTCTATCCCTATCGGGTCCCGCAACAAACTTCAACCCGTATCCCGTGCAGACATTTTACTCTTGCTGCAGTCATGACTCGATGACCCTGTCAGCTGTAATAAAGAAATGGTTTTGACCAACCTGCTAGCCTGATCCAAAAAAATCCTGCTGAGTTTAGCCTATCTGCGCATGCCCAAAGCACCCCGTGAATTTACCAGTGTCGATCAAGTTTGTGCTATGAAGGGAAACAAGGAATCTAGTGCAACGACCGCAGTCAAATATCATGATCATAGTTTTACGTCAGACTTTTCAAGGTTACGAAAATCCGACACGCACATCCAGTATCTATCAATAATTAAGAGCTTTTCTGATTTATAGTTGCTTAAAAGGAAGAAATTTTCAGGTCAAAACAACAGGTGACGAACAGTGAGCAAGAGAGCCTCGAGGAGGTGAGGGAGGATATCTTAATTGTCGTAAGAAAATAATAGTACTGATTCCAGTAGCTTCACTATATTTACATTTTATTCCATAACTGAATGTTGAATCTGTACTTTGTAACTGAACAATACAGAAAATTTGTCTGTGACAACGACAAAAAAAGGAAAAGAGAAAGTTCTCTCTCGAACAGAATCAAATCGTTATTAAGTAATGGTTTGAAAATTTGGAAAAAGGCATTCTCACTGTTAACTTACAATCTCCGCTTTTCATTTAATGCAGTGAACGCGTCCAGCATTTGTCATGAGGGTAACACTGGCATTAACTGCTTGCCTTTTCGCCATGGAAGCGCTTATTACATCGACTGAAGGAAACTTTGAAGCCTCGGGGAATTATGAGCAAGGAACAAAAGATCACGCTCCCATCTCGCTCGAACACGAATCTCACGCTGAAGACGAGGAGGGCAGTGCGTTCGATTCGGGAAGTGGTGCTTCGGGTTCTGGTAGGGAAACTGAAATTTAAACGTAATACAGTAAATACTGAAAATTAAATTTGCGATTTGTCAATGAAGTACAGTGAGGTGAAAGATACGTCTTGCAAGACTTCTGAGAAAGAGATTTTCTAAAGAAAAAATGTAACAAGGAGTTGATGATGAAATCGCATGGAGTGAATTAACACGAACCTGGTCAGTAAAGAAAACTCGGACAAATTAGGGCGTGATATTCACCACGGAAACTGTTTAATCTTTCAGTGACTTAACAGCTCGTAATTATCAAACACGTCGACTAGATCACGGTTTTTCTTTCACGTCAAAAGTCAGTGAAAACACAACTTTATAAACTTCTGGTCAAAAATATTTCACGCCCTCTTTCCAAGAAAGCAAAAAAGGTTACGAAAATAACATGGGAGAGTTTCACCAGGTAGGTTAGCGCCGCGTAGAAAGGTCAAGTATACCCTCAATGAAACCCCGCCATTTAGTCATTTCATTAATACGACCACCACATTATTTCAGTCCCTTTTGGATTTCAGAATAAAGTCAGTGATAAGCTGGGGTCTTTCTAACTTATGACGCTTTTAAATATAGCGGGATTTTCGTTAAACCCAGGTGTAACAAGATTGCTCGTTCGTGAAAATGTCTTTCGTAATCACAAAGCAGGATTTATTTCGTCGCTAAAAAGTCTCTTGGTGTATCAAACTCAAATCAGTCCTCTTATCTTTAGTTATTTGTTATCTAAAACAAAGCCCTGGAGTACTTTGTTACACTGACTTTCAAATTATTTCGTTATACTCAGGTTCGTTATAAAACATAGCCTGGTGATCGTCAGCTCCAAGATCACAAAGATTTCTGTCGGTCTGTTGGAGTTTGGTAAACCAAAGTTGCACTAAATTTTTACGTGATAATGAAAACGAGAAGAAAAAATCTGCACGGTAATACAGTAGAAGTTTATTTAAGTCCCACCAGGCCGTTCATCTTAAAAAAGGACGAAGCCGAGTGGAAAACATTCTAAAGAGAGATGTGGAAGGAAAAATTTGTTTTGGTGATTACACAACCACCAATAACCTTTTTACTTCGTTATTTGTTTGGTAGGGGCAAAGGACGCTTCGGTTGTTGGCTACCCGTCGCCATATCCTTCCCCGTCTGTTGGTTTCCCTGTACCCGCCCCGGCACCATATCCTATGACTCCTGTTGCACCCGCCCCGTCACCCGTCCCGTCACCATATCCTTCCCCCCCTGTTGCACCCGCCCCGTCACCATATCCTTTCCCTGCACCAGCCCCATCTCCATATCCTTACCCTACTCCATCACCATATCCCGCTCCATATCCTTACCCTGGACAAGGTCCCTTGCCATATCCCTACCCATATCCTTCCCCGTATCCCTACCCTGTCGTGCATCCCGCCCCCGCCCCTGCACCCGCCCCCGCACCCGCACCCGCACCGCCCTCGAAAGAAGAAGAGGAAGAGGAGGAAGAAGAGGAGGAAGAGAAGAAAAAGGAGAAGAAGAAGGGCGAAGATAATCCAAAAGATAAGAACACAAGCCACGATAAAAAAGAAAGGGATGACTGAAGAGGAACGTCAAACAAGTTTAGGACCTTCTCGTTGATAAAAGTTTTTATTGTAAAATTGAAGAAATACCCTGACAAAATAAAGGTTTATTGATTTTCCTTAGGTAACCTCCAGCATCTAATTAAAGTCAATAATAATAATAATAGTAATAATAATAATAATAATAGATTTATATAGCGCTAAATTATAAAATATTCTAAAGCGCTTTACAGTGTACGAGTAAGATTACAATAAAAATATAACAAGTATGATGAATAGATATGATAAATTAAAACCAATAAAACATTGTGTATTTTTTTTCAGACCAAAGAAAGTGATCTCGAGAATGAGGTGGTAGCATTAACGGGTGCTCATAAGGCCGAGTTTCACCCAATTTATATAAACATCCCACAAAACAGAATTCTAGCAAACTTAAGTTTGCCTGCATTGGCGATGCTGGCTGAATTTTATTCGTACAGTTTTTTTTTCTTCTTTTAGCTTGAAAAAGATAAAAAGAAAGTTCGTATTCATGTTCAGTTTCAACACACATTTCGTTAACCTTCTTAAGTTCCAGGTGGCATATTTCATTTAAATGTTTTGTTATAACCCAACTGAAGCCCCGTCCACATTGCATTACGCCGGAGAAATTTGTAAACGCAGCTTTATTTCTATGGTTAAGCTTTATCCGGAGAAATTGTCCACCGAAACCGGAGCTTTTCGAAAACGCTCTTCAAACCAGAGGAATTTGAAAAGCGCTGGCTTTGTTTTGAACGGAAAATATTTTAAAAATGGAGCTTTTCGAAAACGACGACGTCACAAAAATCATATGATTAACCTTAACCCTCAAGGGTGAATTCAGGCGCTTCTACGGTCAGTGATTGTTGCGATAAAGACTAGCGATAAAATAATTGATTTTCAAATTTCTTCGGCGTAGTATGGACGGCAAACAATCGAAGCGTTTTCGGAGTGAAAACGCCGTTTTTAAATTTATCTGGTGTAGCTGTGGACGGGGCATGAAACTTGTGATAAACTCTCTCATGCCGTGTTTTCACGAGAGAGGTTT